ATCATACAAACACACTACGTCAGCTTGCCATTGCTACAAGTGGTGCCGTGAAGCGACGAATACGCTAGTCAAGTGCTCAGGCTAACGTGTTACTGTAAAGGTGTTCTGTGTGAAGGGTAGCAGGCGAGTACATGCAACACTAACCTCTCCATCGCTTCGATCTACGCTTCAAGTCATGTGGAGGCGCAGTCATCCATCGTCACTGGTTCTGTTTTGTGTCCATCTATGCTACAAGTCATCCTATCGATTTACTCCATCCGGTCATTCGGATAAGGGTACATCATCAGCACAAACCAGACCCGATGGACGACCAAAATATGCCCTCTAAATTAATACTTCGAAGTACTATAAACATACTAATATATACTAGTAGAAAGGTAGTTGATGCCATACTGAGTAGCGAAAGTCACATAGCGCCAACGAATAGGTAGTATACCAATGGCACGTACTTACTGTATGTACATACATACATACAAATGTATGAACGCTAGGAATCGATTAAGCACGGAGCTCGAATGTCCGATCTACCCGAGTTACAAGGTTCTGGACAATGCCTACCGAGTCCAAGATGGAGAAATGAATACTAGTATGAATTTGTTAGAGATTAACAGAAACTACTGCACAGTGGTCACTTTTGATGTTGCCAACACCAAGTAGATATATCAAAGCAACAGCTATAGACTCAACTTAACGCCACTACCTTCATAATTCTGTAGAGCTTCTGCTGCGCTGGCTACCAGTCGCGTGCGTTGCTGGCGAATCATCTCTAGAATTTCCGTCTCCACCTGCGCGAGTTGGTCGAGGGTGTCGACTTGATGGAGGGCGATGCGCAAAGTTTGGAGGTGATTGGCCAGTTGTTCGTCTTCATCGGGGGTGATATCGTCGGCTGAGACGTTGCTGCCACACTTTCGGAGCACGGACAGGATCGTGTCGTTGTCGGCCACGCCTTCCTTCGACGCGGCGTCGTCCTCAATGTCCGCGATGGCGGCGGCCGCTTTTTGCCGCTCCTCTTCCGCGAGGCGCATGACGTCGTCCAGAACCGCGCTGGGAACGCGCTTACCACGAGTACTGCGCGAAGGGGGCACCCAGAATCGCCACTTGTGCATCTTGGCACCGTCAAACAAAAACACGATGAGGGCGTTCGGGATGTCCGCCAACGCGGTGCGGCATGTGCTTTGCCGAGAGGAGTTGATAAAGGATGTCCACAGATCGAGGAGGTTCTGAAAGCTTTCTTCGCGGCGCCGGGTCACTTCGGGGGTGCGGGACATGAGCGTGCGAGGTGGCATGGCGTCCTTGGTGCGTGGGAGGAGCGTCGGACATGCAGCGTTGTCGCACTCCGAGTGCTGGGTCACCAAAAGGAGTTGCAGATGCTTGACATGAAGGTCAAAGTCGGTAAACGTCTTGCCAATCTTGAACGATTGGTTCGTGACATTGTTGGTCACCTCGATCACGTGCACCGTGGACCCGGACGGGGCAAACAAGCTCGGTACTTTAGATTTAACAATGGACGCTGTGATCTTCACAAACACGTTCGGGTCTTTCTTGGGACGCGACTGTCGCTCGGGTGGCGGAATCGGCTGCTGCTGCTGCTGCGCGGTGGACATGATCAAATGGGATCACGGACTGACCAAGATGGAAATGTCGTACTACAGTACTACGTAGTACTAGTACATAACAGACACTGTATGGATACTATTACTGTACGTACTACTACTGGAGTACAGTAGTACTAGTACTACGTAGTACAGCTGTGGTGAGTTACAGTAGTAAAAATGAAAATCGCTCAAAATGGACCCGTCTGGCAACATTTCAAAAATAATACTAGTACTACGTAGTATCCCGTTTTCTCGCAAAATGGGATTAACCAAAATGCCATTTTCAAAATGGAGGTAAAAGGTCCATTTTGTAATATGGCGTTTTGGACCTCTTCAACGAGTAAATCCCACGTGGAATTATTGGATTTGGGTTAAACCTCTGCAAGCAAGACATCTTTCAATTTTGATCAGATTTGTTGAATTCGGGCCTAAAATGGCGCTTTGGGTCTGAATATTGCAATATTTCCGGTTACCAGACGAACCCTCAATTTTGATTCCAAAATGGCCTTTTGGGACTGGATATTGTAATACTTCGTGTTGCCAAACGGGCAGGTAATGTTGCAAATTGATACCTTTCTCCAGACTTGTTGATTCACAACCGAGTAACTCTCCATGCCTACATACATTTGATGGTAGGAAGGCATTTTGCCGTAACGTTCACATTGAAATATTCCAAGGTATTTGAGACTTCGGAAATAATCCGAGGTATATTGACTGGTGACAGGGTTGTCGCACGCCCTGTTCTGGGTGCGCCTTGTAACATTTCAAAAGAACTTCGACGCAACGTTACTCGGAGTAACGGTGTAACTTCAAGGGTGCGTCGGGTAACAATTCAAAAATAAAATTCCATTTTCTGGCAAAATGGGATAAATAAAAAATGCATTTTCCAAATGGAGGTAAAAGGTCCATTTTGAAATACTACTGTAGTACGGCGTTTTTGACACCCCCGAAACCCCTCAAGGAGAAAATCCCACCTGGAATAATTGGATTTGGGTTAAAACTCTTCAAGCTAGACATGTTTCAATTTTTATCAGATTTATTGAATTTGACACCTAATGGCGTTTTGGGCTACCGGTAGAATTTTGTAATATTTCAGGTTACCAGACGTGCCATAATATTTACTCCGGAGTAGAGCCTGTTCCAAGTAGAATTCGAAAATCGCGAATATTGGGGTGACAAAATACTTCTTCCCATTTTGTTGCCATTTTACGGCCATGATTGATTGGACATAAATCCAGAAAATGCAAAGTGACTGGACAACATAGTATTGAAGCAATGGCTTTCACTGGCTCCCGTGGCCAAGGTTCAAACCGAGGTCCGTCGTTGCGCTTATCACCCAACGGGGTCGACCTTCAGATCTCCAGTCACTACTTCTTCAGCATCGCCAGTCGCCTACACGTATGAGCTGGTGACTGCGCTCCCGCACTGTGGTTATCTGTGTTCATGTCGGCCCTCAATATTCAACCTCAGAGAGCGTAGGATCAATAATTGGCGGGTGAGGCGATAATTTCAGCGAGTAGTTTGGCGCGGCGATGGGTTTTCGAATATGGGATGAAATGGGGTCATGCACCCCATTTTGAAAAGTAGATTTTGGAATGAATTGGCGAGCGTTTTGATTGGATAGTGCCCATTTTGAAAACTACTTGGTACAGGCTCTTAAGGTGCCCTATTAATAAGAAGTGTAGGACACATAAGAACACTGGATTGAAAACTCAAAATTGTCAGTTTCCACCGGAATTTATCGACGAAGGGGATGCAGTACGAGCTTGGGGGGGGCAAACCAGCATTGAATGAATTCAACGTTGTGTTAAAGGGCGCTATAAGCCCCAAAGTTGATGGCAGTAATGGTTGTTCCAGGCACGTGAACATCTGACCCCCCAGACCTACCTACTGTACTGTACTCGCGCTGCATCCCAACAATCTTCATGTGTTAACATAACTTCGAAGTAGTTTGTATTGGGCCAACTAACACTAACGTTATCACTAATATGATACCAGGTTTAACTATCGTCAACGTAGGATTGGTGTACTCGGTGATATCGCAAAACCAAGTCGTGTGTAGGGGTAACGTTACTTGGAGGTATACCACGGTAGTAACCACAACATTATTGGCTGAAAATGAAGCGATGTACTACTACCCAAGCCACAATAATGCTCATGAAATTGTGGTTGAAATTGGCATGAAATATGACTTCACTGTCTTAGCTACTTTCCCTCCGTTCGATCGGCAACGTCGTCGACGTTGGCTGGCACTGCCGCCTCCTTCTATGCTTCGACATGTGACGGTTCTGATTTGGCGATGGAACCCAAAAGTGCTGCAAGTCGAATTTGGCTTCGTCAAACAAGAACACGATGAGCTTACGAGGGATGGCCTGGTCAGTCACGGGGCAGTCGCTTGGTGCTTGAGTGAACGTGAACAATGTGTCTAGTACTGCTTTCGAGTCTCGACGGGGCCGCTGAATGAGGGACCAATGACGACGTAGAGCCAACGCTCGCACAGTCGAAGCAAATGCAGCGCACGAAGGGTGGGAGCACGTGTGGTGGTCGTTGGTGTCGACGACATCGAGGACGCTTCGAAGCAGCAGGTCAAAGTCCTTTGACGACTTGACCACGTCGAACGAGCGTTGGGACACGACATTCGTCACCGTCACTACAAACGACGGGTCGAAGCAGAAGACGCTGGATGTGCGCGACTCGGACATGGCTACGGTGACGACAGAGCATGCTCGCTGGTAGGTCGGTGGGGGCGGCGGAAGCAGTGGTGTTGTGGATCTCATAATACTGTAACCTGGTACTCGAAATCAACCAAATTCGATTTGATGCCATTCACGGAACCAGGTTGGAGGGTTGGAATGGGGCCAATACCCCACCATTGTTTTAGTTTTGGCACGATTGCTGAATACTAAGGTACAGTACTATTAACAGTACATAGTATTTTGGTATGAAATGCTCAAATCGTTGAAAAAGTAGAATCAGTTGCACCTTACTGTACCGTGTGATACAGGCAACTAACTTCCTTGAATCCGCTACCTTCATTAAGTTATCGTGGACATTAGACCGGTGGTGATCACTTGCTTTGTGTGCAATTTTCAACGTACTTGGCAACGATGATACAAACTGACAAGACCCCCGTGCAAAACGGTTGATGTTATCACGGACATGAATAATACAATAATACCTAACCAAACAGTAATTTGGCGACAAATCATGATACTATGATTTGTCGCCAAATTCGTTTCGAGGCAGATACTACGATTTGTCGCCAAATTACTGTTTGGTTAGGTATTGTATACTTCTACGTAGTGTACTAGTAATAAATAGGCACGGAGCTTGCACTGTGGTGAGAAAATACACAAACAACTTCACACGGGTCAAACGCCCTCACCTCCAACCACATATTCCAATCATCGTAATGGCCACACACGCCATGCAACCTCCTTCGATGCCATTCCAACCTCTCATTAACATAAGTAGTAACGCGATACATGTGTAGTACAATTAGAAATGCAGCTCCATGACCCTCCTCGTTTGCACTTACAGGTACAGTATACTAACTACTATACTACGTAGTAAAAGTAGGTCAAAGTATTAACAACTGCGCTTGGAGATATTTGGAGTAGTAACTACTAACTGTCTCCTGAATTACGTTCTGTTGCTTGAAGTGTTTGTGACGTTCCAAAGTATCATCTCAAACACACCAATTCAAATCCCTCGACAGTGAATAGCCTCATGACCATCATTCCAACCCTCCTACATACTTATGTGGCAACACCCACTGGCTGTACATACATTCCGACCTTACTTCCCATTCCAACCTTCTTGCCACCACAGACAGACAGAGGCACCCAAGCACCCACAACTTTGTCACAATTTAAAAAAACTCTTGTGCAACATATTAATAAAAATACTCCGGCTCGGAACCCGTAAACAATCCTTGCGCTCGCCCCGTCGATGCAATTGGACTAGCCACCCATACGTAAGAAAGTATGATTTGATTGATAGAATATTCACCTCATGATTTGATCCTCGTTGACAATCCCAATCCGCTGCAACAACCTCGCTGTCGCCGGCGTCGCTACATGAACCAACCACGTTAGCCTACTCCTACTTCTAGTACTCCTACTAGTAGTACTACTCGTACTACTAGTATCCATCCACAACACCCACGTACGTGGCAAGTGCAACCCCGACGACGCCGACATGTTGTTCCCATCATCACGTGGTTTTGCAAATGGAGATTCGACGGAGCTGCCGCCGCCTTGGCTTGGGCGGTGGCTTGAGTCCATCCGATGCCGCTTCTTGCCGCCGTCAACAAACTCGGACGGGGTGCCTCGCGTTATCAGCACATCGTGTCGTTCAAACTAGTCACATGTTATGCACACAAGAATCGTCAAGAAATATACAAGTCCATCGACTATGCCACTATCATCACTACCAGACAACATAAAAGTACCAAGTCCAAATGTCAAGGGTACTACTAGTAGTAGTACTTGTACTCGTACACTGTACAGTGAAAAAATAGAACGGCATTGTCCAAGGGTACTAGGAGTAGTAGTATCTAAAGGAAAATCCAGACAATTTTGTCAAATCAATATGGAATCACGCTGGAGTTTTGATTGGTTGAATATACTTGTCCTTTCTGCAAGAGCAGCCAATCAAATCCACTCAAAAAATGGATATTAACCAATAGCGTCGATTCGCGACTATTCGATTTGACGGGGTCTGGAAATGATTCGATTTGACGGGGTCTGGAAATGATTCGAATACACCACAATACATTATAAAACCATACAAGTAAGCATATATATATAGCCCAAACTCGCAACCAAATCGATCTACTGTCGTACAGTATCGACGACTACCATCGAAACTCTCATTCTTCAACATCTCAGACCAACTAGGGAAAGCAAATGGCAGTTTACTTGCGTACCTCAAACTCGAGCCGGTCCTTGTCCAGCCGTTCTGCCTGGACACTGAACTGCTCTCGCTCTGACGCCATGTGCTCCGCCTTGATGGCCAGCTCTTGCCGCTCAAGGGCGACTTCTTCCAGCATGTCTTCCAGTGCACTCAGCTCCAACCGGTCGCTCCGCCGTGTCACATGTTTGTCTTGAGCCAAAACCACTTGGAGCATCGCGTCTTGCTCTTGCATTACCCCATATGCTTCTTGCAGACGCGCTTCCATCGCCGCCCGGTCGCGGTCTTGTGTGGCGTCCATCAATCGTGCAATCTACCCACAAACATCATTTGGTTAACATGCATCGCGATGTCAAATCAATACACAGCCCTCACTCACACCACTGGGCAATATATTTTACATATATATATCACGTCGCTAGTCCAGTTTTGAATAAACAAAACAATATATATATATTGTTTGTATATATATATATATATATATATATATATATATATATATATATATATATATATATATTGTTTTGTTTATTCAAAA